GAAGTGCTATAAACTGGGGAAGGGAGGGGAATAAACTGCACTTTAGTGCATATATTGAACGGTTGCCAGCACTTTGCTTCTTGAAGGTGAGGCACAAAGCTGGAGTGCAGTTGCTAAACTAAATGTAGATGATAACTGCAACAGAGATACCCACTCATGCCACTCAAGTTTGTTCCCAGATGAAGCACTTGATACATGCTTGGCAATTAAAATCCTGCCTGCCTTAAGAATTACTATATATTGATCCTTAGACCTCCTTCCTGCCTATTGTTTCCACAGAGCTCTCTGCATGAACTCACGGGATGTAAGAGTTGTAATACGTGGAGGTGATTTACTGAATAGAGCAGAGAGTTGTTATTGGGGCATTTCTCTCAAGTTCCATATGCAGGCTGGTGAAATGTAAGCATTTCTTCTCCTCYGAGAAGAAATTTTGTTGCCTTGCTTCATTATACAACTGTTCATTAATGCTCTTCACTGCATATTATTAACACCTTTGAAAAACAAGAATGAGGCTTAGTCTATGTGTGATACCTGCAGATCATGTTGTTGAGAAGCACTCCAAATGCAAAATAATTTTAGCAGCAGGACTCTGTTTTACAACATGCATAATAATCCCATGGAGACCAGGTATAGCAAGTTTTACCAGCAAAGATCCARACTCTGGGTTTACATTAGGGCTCTTGCTATGGGTCTGATGATCAGAGATTGCAGCGGTTCTTTCCTGTGGACACTTATGCTCTGGCAAAAAGCAATATCCAGGTGAGCTGACTACACTGACTACACTGACACAAGCTGCACACAGTATTCAACGGCTTTGTGACAAGGAAGCAAGGTACCCAGATGCGAATGGACACACTTTAGCTATCTCTGCATTTTGAATGCAGCATCTATATTGAGGCATACACTGGAATTTGGCTTTGACAGGATATAGTCACAGATGATAACAGGTAGACCTTGGTTGGTACCATTAAACTGACTCTGTACCACAGGAGGAATGCCAGGTAGTTATGAACACCAGTGCAGCTATGAACATACCTATCTCCATGTTCATGCAAGCAGGCCTTTCTCCCTTTTCCTGGCCTCCAAAGAGCTGCCCAGACCACCAGGGAACCTGGTATTGGATATACTTCAATGACTGAAAAGTCTAAGCCACAAAAGCTAGCACTGGATCAGTGAGTCCTTATGGATTGAAGGGTGTTGCCACAGTATCTCTGCACAGCATTCCATGCATCCTTCATGAACACTACTCTTTTTTCCATTATCTGAAGCATCTCCACCTCCTTTGGCCTGGATGACAGAGAGCTGACTATATAGTCAGCCTGTTGTACTGGTCCTGCGAGCAAACAGTGCCTGGAGAATGTTTACCTGCCCACCTAAAGAAGGTTGTCACTCCTGAGACAATACATGTAGGCAATACATACTCTCCTGGCTGTAATTGAATCAGATGACTACTGTGCTTAGGCTCTATTTATGAGCAATGCTCTTTATCAACCCTGTTCAAAGAGCCTATGAGAGATCAAATGCATCTGTAATGAGACTTTGGTCCCAAATGGCTGTTATTGTAGGCAGGCATTATGCTGCTTGATTCCCAGGGCAGCTAGCAACAACACAATGTGCTAAGTATCTTCAGTCATCATAACACAGTCAGACAAAATGAATGCTAAACTTGGGGGACCCAGGTTTGCCCACCGTAACTCCTCATTGAGGAGTTATGAAAAAACTGAGTCAAAATAGCAGAATGAGTAAAAGYGCATTATCTCTTGCCAAATTATACAATTTTATTGAATATGGGAGCCAATGCTGTAATCAATAATTAAAAGGTTCCGATGTATCAAGGGAAATGCAGTTACGTGAGCTCAACATTTGTACTGAGCAGTGAGTGAAGTCTAAGAAGGGACACCAAAACGGAACTTCTTGATCTTTCTGGGAAAAGTCACCACTATTTTTGTAAAGAGAATTCTGGGTGTAGAAACTTTGTGGAGTTCTTGGAAGAGGCCAAACATAAGTGGAGATAATGGTGATCCAGCGTATCTAGTCTATCTAGATTTCCAAAAGATTTTTGATTAAATTTCTAATCAAAGACTTTCAAAAAAACTAGGTAGCCATGGAATAAGAGGGAAGTTCCTATTGTTTATGAATCACTAATTACAAGGAAAGAAATACAGGGTAGCAGAAAACCAGTCTTCACTATGGCAGTTACTCACCAGTGTGGAGCCAGACCTGTACTGTTCTGCCATTTATAGATGATCTGAAGAGGGTAGAGCACTGAGGAATTAAAGTTTGCTGAAAAGGTTTCAACTTGGTATACAGAACTACGGCTTGTAAAATGACTATAACTAGTCAGGAGAAAGATGTAGTTACCGGCAGCTGCATGAAAAAGTTGGTTCAAACCAAAGGAGGAGAAAAACAATGAACATTGATTATTATGGGCTATTGGGTAATTAACAGAGAGCGAAACCAAAGTAATCACTGTACATTTCACAGCTCRAATACTGTGTGTTGCTTGGAGACTCTATGAAAATGGGAAGGTCTCAGAGAAAGGAAACTAGACTGTTGCTGAAACTGGCTGACCCGGAAGGAACTGGCTGCAATGCGTCAATGTGCCAAGTATGTAAGAGGGAATCACTTACAAAAATTCCAAGTGGATGGACAAGACAGTTAAGGACTCATTCACTTTCTTCTTCTTTAGGAATAAGGAGACTTCATTTAGGAATGAAGGCTGTGGGTCCTGATTCAAAGTGAATAAAGTAAGGTTGACATGACACTCAACAGGGCACTACTGATCAGGCCAGCCAAATTAGATTTAAGGAAATTCTCATGCTGAAAGTAGCAGGATGTTGGGACAGTAAGATGGGGAATGCGATGCTTGGCTATGCTGGTTTTACTCCTACGTGGGTATCTGCCTCTAACTTCTTTTCTGTTGCTCTTATAAATGCTCTTAGTCATGTCTTTCTCTGCAGCACCTTTCCTCATAGCTGGCAACAAGACTGGCTGCCCTAGCCTGTGGTTTTTTTCCCCTGAACTTCAGAGCACATTTCAACTATGCTCCGTAGCACAGCACTCAGGTGGTGCTGGCCACATTTTCTGTGCATCTGGTATGTTGGCCAGGTGCCTTGTGCTGCAGTCCTGCTGTTGACACCTTGCTGTCTTGTTGACCTCCAGAGGCTGAGGTGAGAATATTACTGTGGCAGAGCTGGATCTATCCTGAGCCTGAGTAAGCAGAGCTGTTCCTATGGTCATGGTTGGAGGTTTACTCCCTGCTGCTTGAGAGATCAGGCAGAGGCTGTGCAGCTACTGTGATTCAACTTGCCTTGCAGTTACACAGTGGAAGCCTTTTGGTGATGAGACTGTTTGAGTCTCTCCCTTGTGCTGAACCAAGAGCTCATCCAGCAACCAACCAAAAGCTGTTCCAAGTCAAAAGTAAACTTTCCTCCATCCTCCTGGTTTATCTTTAACCCAGAACTGATCCATCCACCCCAAGGCCACATATGCTTGTGACAGTATGAGGGAACATTGTCACGCAGCTGGGTTATGGGAAAAACTAATCTACTTCTCAGAAGCAGCATAAACTTGAGCTGCTTGTGAAAGCTGGACACCATGCACATAAAATACTCTGATTTTCAAGTCCCCAAGGCTCTCATGAATGTTGCACTAATTGCTTTTTCTTTAGCACCTAAAYCTTTAATCGGCAAGGGTAGGGAGAGTTTTCTTTTTCTTTTAGTGTTTGAATTGCGAAGTTGGCAGTGTTCAGGAATGTATTTATTGTAAGCACACTACTAGGCCTACATGTTTTTACTCTATTACTACCTGGCCGCACAGGCAAACAATTGACAGGGAAACCTTCACTTAAATTAACYGTGGGTTCCTTGAATAGCATTCTCAAATCTGTCACACATCATACAGACTCACTTAAAAAGAAATKATTCTATTTATTAAAACTTCTTTCTCAAAAGGTTTCAGCATGCTGCAGWACAATCGAATTCTTACTTATGTCATTGGCAGACTCCACCATTACTGCAGGTAAGAAAAATCCTTCATTGCAGCCTGCTTTGCCAACCTCCAGATGAAGGCTAGAAGAGAGAAATGGTCCAGAGGATCAGGACTTTCCTTCACATGAGCTGCAGCASAGCTGTCTGATTGACAGGAATGACAGGAAAGAAACAAGAGAGCATAGATATAAAAACAGTGCTTGGTGAGCTTCTGATTAAATAATGACAAGAAATAAATCTTGTCCCCAAAAGACTGGCTATATTAAGCACGTAATTTTTTAGGCTTTTAATAGTCATCTATGAATCACGAGCAATCTTTTAGTGGTATTATGTAGAAACACACACACTGACAATTTATCATCTTTACAACATGCARTCTATAACCCTTGGACTCTGGACGGAGCACAGATAGGTCTGTAAGTACATGAACTAAATGCCCTTTCTTCATATTACTCACTACTGCATATGGAGCAGGAAGCATACCTGGCTGCTTAGCAAGATGAAGGACACAGAGTAAGGGAAGAATTCAGACAGCCTTTTGTGAAGATAGTGTAACTCTCTTCATCCCAAATTCTTCCAGTGAACTATGGCTTCTTATTATTTTCCAGTAAGGATKTTAACACCTCCAGTTCAGTGATAAATATGCCATTATTTCCCTGCATTTGTCAGGAAACAGGAAAACTGTTCATGTCTAGAGACGCATTTGTGTCCCACATTATCTAGAGCTGTAAACTCTGCTCCTTAATGAGTCATGTTAATATACACTGCTACTTTAGCTTGGTTCTCTAAATACTATCACAAAACATCTTAGATTCATTGCTCTCTAAACAAACTTGTCATTAGGTAAATTTTACTTTACCCATTTAGACATTACAGCTACAGTCGTCACACTTATAATTAACTGTTAGGAAGAGTATCTTTGCTAACTGAAGCCAGGCAAGTGGAACTATCCAAGTAGAACTACTTTTGAAGTGCATGYAAAAGAATAAAAGAAAGCACCCAACTCAAATGTGTTATAAAAAAATTTCTTATTTAGGTGTTCTTAAAAAATACAAGGCACATAATATAAAATCAAATAGCTATACATCAAAGCTATGTTGTATATCCCCATATAAGCACATGGACTGGCAAGTATTAAGTAACAGTGGATAATCTCAACTAACATTTTATCCCAGTAGTAGCTGATAACAAGATCATCTTGTCAACTCAWATAGGGTAACATTATAAGCTGTTGCCATGTTCATATTTACAGCACAATAACCTGGAAAACAATACAAAAATGGTGTTATACTGAAGATAATATGCAGYCTAATCCAAGATGGTGATATGGATTCTCCTCTCAACAGCTTCATGATGTTAGCAGGTACACAGAACAAGATCCTATACATAYTACTGTTCAGAAGCTTAATACATTACAGCTGCAGTTAAACAAAACAGATTTATCTGTTAATTCAATATACTAACAATACTGCATAATGTTCCAGATACATTTTGCTTTTTAGCAACTTTTATATTCAACAAGAATGTCTTCAGCCACACACACTTCTACATCAGCAGCATTTTTGCCCAGTAACTGAAATGTCTTTTTTTTGCCCCCGTCTTGCAGGAAGATTTATCTGTTTATGATTTCCACACAGAATAAGTAGCTGTGACTTCCAAATTCCAGGCTTCAATGTAATTAAAATGCAGAGATGTTTCTTCAGACTCTCTTATRCAAAGTAAGTCTATTGTCACTCACATCCTTTTATCAGTAATAATAAAACTTAACTTTACTACGATTAAACTCAGTAGGTGGATTTGTTGGTCCTACTTGAGTTTGAAGAATATGAACTTGACTTCTTGGGATACTTGCCTGATGAGAGAGACACTTGCATCCTCTGTGTAGTCCGMACACTTTGGCAAAGAAGAGCATATTTAAGGTTGTCTCTGAAGTCTTTTGAAATATAGTAATAGATGAATGGATCAATACAACTATTCAAAGTGGAAAGACACAGGGCAGTTATGTACCACACATACAGATGACTATAGCTATAGGCTTTGAGTAGYGAATAGTGCACAATAATCAGTACATTACTAGGTGTAAAACAGATGAGATACATGGACAGGACAACAACAATGAGTTTGATTGCTCTTTTTCGTTTCTTTCCAGTGCTTACATCTACGATAGAAGCCCTCAGAGTCTTAATCATTAGTATGTATGTGACACCAGTGATGATGGCTGGGATTAAGAAGAGTGCAGTTGCAAGTGAGAGGAAGTAAGTGAACATATCATGAGCTGAAACATTTTCAGGCAACACATCATGGCATGTGGTGATGTTAAGATTTGAAATATGTGCTGTCTGTTTAACAAGATACAATGGAATGGTGCCCAGCAAAATCAGTRTCCAGATAGCAATGGAGATGCCCAAAGCAATTTCTGATTTCTTTTTTGAATGCATTATGGGGTTCACCACAACCCAGTATCGTTGTATACTGAGACATGTCATAAAGAGAATGGAACAGTACATATTTCCATAGAAAAATCCAACAAATACTTTGCAGAGACCTTCACCAAATAGCCAGTTATTGCCATTTAGATGGTATGAAATCTTCAGTGGGAACCAGACAACAAAAAGAAGGTCTGCCAATGCCAAGTTTACCATATAAATCACAGCCGGATGTTTCTTCTTTGTTCGGAAAAAAAAGACCCAGAGGGCCATGGCATTGCTTGGCAAACCAATTATAAAGACAAAGAYATAGACAATGGGAAGAAAAATTGTAGTTAGCCTTCCTGTGAGGACTTTTGCTGTAAATTCGTCCACCTTGTATAACTCTTCAGAACTATTTGCATTTGGAACTTTATGGCCAATAAAAGTTCTTCCTTTAAAACGAAACTTCATGGATCCATTATTTTCTAAAATTAAAAAAAAAAAAAAAAGTTTTTGCTGTTATTGAAGTATAGACTTTTCACCCTTTTAAAAAATAAGCTAGACCTAGTTTATTTTTAAATAAATTTATTTATTAACATTTAAGAACAGCCTTATCAACAGAAAAATTAAAACTGATGTTCACACAMTTAACAATTTATCTTCCCTTTGTTTTAAATGCATTATCCTAAAGACAACCTATATCTCTATTCACAGATTCTACCAGCAACCAAAACACTTTTCCATGTCACCAGTGATATTAAAAATGCCTTTTCAAAATGGGCTGTCAGGTGCTCCTACCACCTGAACAGTTACCATAGAGACTGCTTCAAGTACCCCAGGGCACCATTAGCTTCCCACATAGCAGTGCCAGATTACTGGASAGCTGGGACTTACAGAACTTCACAGCAGGCCAATGTAACTGTAGTAAAAARCTTTGCCAGTTTAGTGATTAAAAAATTGGTATGCTGAAAAAAGAGAACACATTATCTTCAGACAAGCTAAAACAAACTCAGGACCGCAATGTCCTGAGCCATGCTCAAGTGATCCCTAGGTAAGGCACATTAAAGACTATCCGAATAGAAACTTGAACACACTAACTGTGTGCTTGAAGATGCAACACCATCCGTCGTCATCTCYTTCAGAAGAGAAGGTCAGTTTCTGTGGTTTCTACTCCAGGTGTCAGGTGGTAGAGCTGACAGCTAAGACTGCTTCATACACAGCTGTCACTACAAGCTTTGCTCAGCCTCTCTGAATGCTATGGGAGCTCACAAACCATAAGGGAGAACCAGGAACTCCTGACTGYTGAGTCCTGTAGGACAGCCCTCAGMCAGCCCAGTTCAGAACCTCTGCACACACAACACAGTCCTCCACTGCTGACAGGCTAGCCTGCACAAGCAACGTCCTTGACTTCACACCATTCAAAAAGTCAGACATTCACCTACAGACATCCATCAGCTWAACAGCTAAACAGTAAGGACAGGGAAGTTAACTAGTTTTGGGAGAATTATTTCTAAACTCCGTCTTCATCAATATTTGAGGATTTGTTTAGCCAAAGCCCCCCAACTGGAACATAAAAAATATCATTTTGAGTACCTGAACAGTGAACAGCCCYGAACAGTGCTGAAGCATGGCCCCTTTGTTAAGAAATAAATTATACAATCCCAGAATAAAAAAAATGCTTACACATTACATTTTAAAGAATTCTTACACAAAAAATATGTWAATAGACAAGTATGTGTTTCCCAGTACAGATTCCCAAAAGTAGTGCATTTTAGATAGCTGTTTATTTCAAATTATAACTGCAAAATCTGATGTACAGCCTTAGACTCTTGTCTAGACTCTGCAACCACCTGAAGATTTATACAGAAATACACACATGTAGATACTCTTTAGTGTTTTGATTTAAGTTATCCTAGATCCACTTGAGCACTTACCAGTCTCCAGGCCCAAGCAGCCTTCAATGAAAAAAATGAGGTATTACAAAACTTTTTGCCAGTAAAATGACATGGACAAATCTTTGCAGTATGAAGATGGAAGCTTAAATTATACCAACAAAACAACCATCCCAAAGRAAATTAATTGAAATGCCAGTTATTTCGATCTATATGAGGTGTGATTAAACTAAGGCAGAATTATACAAATTCTGCTTTCAGATACTCAAACCCCATAATTACATCAGCAACACTGTAAAAGACTGCAAAGTTTAATTACAAAACAGCAATCCTAGTTCCCTAGCTTGAGCTGTGAACTGGAGAAACCATAAAACCAGCCTGAAGGACACAGTTAACAGAGATATCAGATACTGAAGTGATAATTAGCTAAGCAATGCCAATTTTCTCAGTCTTACAGCCTAGCTGAGAAAGAGCCTGAAGATGCTTAGAAGAAGACCAAATATTCTAAGCTGGTGACACATTAATAAAATGCACCATGCAATGCTATGATAAGCACTTGTTCATGAGAAAGTGGTTGATATTATCAAATTGCAGGCACACTGTTTCCATTCTGTTCCAAAGACTTAAATTATTATAGAGAACTAGAAGAGCAAATCCTACCACTTTGTTCTAACTAATGTTTTGTAATCGGATATAAAACAATGCTTCGCAACTGATGCTCAGAAGTTAGGTAAAAAAAATAAAAACCTCACCAAAAAGTCCTCAAGTGTTAGTGTGAGATACCACAGTAAGAGCTGCACAAAGTGGATGAACAGATATCTGAACCACAGATAGTACTTAGTATTGCAAGAGTGGCAGAATAGAGACAAAGGTTAGTTTTATTCTACTTTTTAAGACACACTGATCTCATAGACCAAGYCTTGTTTTTATTCTGACTTTAATTCGAGGCTCAAAAGTTCACAGCTTTTGTCAGTCCAGTCAGCACTCTATACATATAGGAAGACAAAAGTGTCCTGTTTCCCTGCAGTTAACACTCCCTCACTGGGCAAGCAGTCCTTTGTTAGGTATGTACATTTTCTACACCCTTTTCTTACTCCTTCTCCACTTGCCTTTTTCCATAACAATCGAGGTCTTTTCCCAGACGAGTTTCACCCTGCTTGACTCACAGGCAGAGAATGCAGTTGACTTGCTAATCTGCCCACGGGGAAAGCGTACTCTCCTCCCACAAAAGACTGTTTCAACACCTTTGCCACTTTTCCAGAAGATATAACCCACTACATACCAAACACAGGATTATGCCTACCCTGCAGACACAGAAGCGACAGCAGCATGGCATATCCAAAAATTAACTAATTTACTGATGCTAGTAATACCCCTACAGGACTAAGTGTATGATTATCCTSCTTTTCGGATTTGCAACCCAGATTCACCACAATGCCGCAATGGCATTAGCCTGTTTGAAATCTGCCACAATACGCCTCTGTCTTAGTGCATCTCCTTTGGCTGAGATGGGATCACATTTCAGCTCATTTCACCTCTCTACTCCAGGATTTCAAACACGCAGCAAAAACTTTTGCATTCCTCTCCCTCTGCCCCGAGAATTCCAAACTCCTCACTCCATCCAGGTCAGACAATTAGGCTATGAAGTGGCAGTTTAATATCAGGAACTCTGCTCTAAATAATGCAGTTTACAGCTACCTAGCATCTATCTCTAGCGAAAATATGACCCACCACATACATGGTTTCAATATTTACACAATCTTTACGTATATGATTTTATTAGGTAAATAAACCTGGGATGAAATATAGGACACAGTGCAAAGCCGTGCACAGATATGGCAGCGGGGTTGATTATAATAGGTGGTGAAAAATTAACTTTATGCAGTGAAATATTAATTGGAATGACTGTTTAGGGTTTTTTTTTCTCAAACAGCATTTATATGAATATGAATGACTGTTGAGGTTTTTTCCTCAAACAGCACTTACGTTCAATAAGCAAAAATACAGATTAACAATTAAAAAAAAGACCAAAGCTTTTTAGAGCCGGGAAAGAATATGGTCTTTAAAGTTTTTTCATGTTTATCTTAAGGGGAGCGGGGCGGGGGACGGAGCTACGAGAAAGTTGGAGAGGCGCTTTACATAAGGCCACTCAGTGACAGGACCAGAAGGAATGGTTTAAAATGGAAAGACAGTATATTTACATTCGGTATCAGGAAGAGACTCCTTATGTGAGAGTGGTGAGGCACCGGGACAGGTTGCCCAGCAAAGTTGTGAATGCCCGATCCCTGGCAGTGTCCAAGGCCAGGCTGGACGGGGCTCTGAGCAGCCTGTTCTAGTGTAAGGCGTCTCTGCCCGCGGCGGGGAGGGTTGTAACGAGATGGGCTTTACGGTCCCTTCCGTGGTCCCTTCCACGGTTCTCTAGAAGGCGGGTGAAGCCAAACCCTGCGAGTCCCACACGCCCTGAGGACCCTGCTCGCCCGGGCAGCGTTTCCCCTCCCCACCGGTCCCGGTAGCCACACTCCCACCCACTGGAGTATTCCAACCCGCTCGACTCCGCGGAACCTCGCCCCGTCCGCTCTGGGTTCCCCGCACCGCAGCCGGGCCAGACACCTGCCCCGCCGAGCGCCCCGCCCGCGGCTGAGGGGAGGCCAAGCCCGCCGGGGGTGCCAGGGTGCCACGCTGGCCGCCCCGCTGAACCCAGTGAGCCGACGGCTGCCGGTACCCGGCTCCGCTCACCTGCAGCGGCGGCAGCGGCTCCCAGCAGCGTACAGAGCAGCAGCAGCAGCAGCAGCAGACACAACCCACGGCGCGCAGCCATCCTCTCACCGCGCTCCGGCCCGCCGCTGCTCCGCCCGCGCTGCCGCTCAGTTTCACCGGATACCTGAGCGGGGCGGGGCGGGGGCGCGGCCTGGCCCAGGAGCAGCCCCGCGGCGGGCGGAGCCTGGCTGGACGTGTCCCCCCTCGGCGGAGAGTGCCGGGGCTGTTCCGAAATGGCGGGAGCTGCTCTGTGGTGGGWCTGTTTCGCCCGCCGCAAAATGGCGGGGCCGGCACAGTCCCCGCGGGCGAGTGGCTAGCCTCAGGCGGCTGCTGGCGATCGCTCGGCCGGAGCGGCTGCCGTGGGACCTGGCTGYCACCCCGCTCACGGTGCGGGGGTCGCTATGCCCCGATCCCGGCGCTGGGCCCTGCCCGTGCCAGCGGCGCTGTTAACGGCGGCTCGCTGCTCAGTACGGCCCGGCTGCACTGGCCACGGTCCGTGCCGAGCTGCTGCTGCCGTCAGCAGGATTGTTATGGCAGGGGCCAGCAGTGTTTAGRGGGAGCGCGTTACTCCAGTTGCTTTGTAACATACTGCGTTGCGCGTTCCAGGTTTCTTATTCTTCCTTGTTAGAGCATCATAGGATAGTGCAATCTTACACCGGGTCAGGTTGGAAGAGGCTACATAAAGTAATCTGATCCAACTTCTCTGCCGAAGMAGGGTCCTCTGGTGCCCATGACTCAGGATTTTCTCCTTTCCAGTCAGCTTTTAAATACCTCGGGAAAAGGAGGCTACACCTCTGGTCAATCCATTCAGTGCTCTGTGACTCTCACAGTAAAGAAGTCCTTGCTAATGTTCAGGTGGAACTCTCCCTGCCTCAGTTTCTGCCCATTGCCTCTTACCACATTGCTTGGCATCACTGGGAACAGCTTGGTCCATCTTCTTGGCAGCATTCCTTCAGATGCTTACAGACGTTGATGGCATCCAATCTGTCAAGGTCCAGAAGGGCTGCACAGCACACCACGAGTCAGCTGCTTCTCCCAGCTGTGTTTTTAGCAATTTCACTGAGGAAGCATCTGTCCCTTCATTCAAGTCRTGGATGAAAAAGTTAAAAGCACTGAACCCAGATACGTTATGTATGGGTTACGTTTGTGATATAACAGATGGGCATGAAAACAATGACTGTTTAACCCAAACACATTTGTGTGGCTGTGCTGGCATGATCCAGTAAGAAAGGGTAAGTAAGGGATGTTTTCACCTGTCAGGCTCACTTAAGCTCAGAATACACCAACTTCCCTTCAGTTTTGCAAATTTTAGGAACAAAATTAAGCAGAATACTATGTCATCAGCATTTTCTATTTATCCATACTCTGGGAATACAGAGAGATGAAGATAAATGCACTTGAAAGTTTTAAGTATCTGAGTTGACATCAAAGGCCTCTTGTTTCTGAGTCTTTGTTATAAGTCACTGCCTACTTAAAGCCCAGTTCCTGTTTGTCATCCACACAATTTAGTTTACCGATTTCTCATCTAAGTCCCAGCCGTCTTGCTAAACACTAAGGAAGTCATAGTCTATCCCTCCACACTCCCTGTCTGTCTCTCTCAGTGCTGTTTTATTTATCATTATAAACTGCTTCACAGGTATGTAATGTCCTGTTTTTAATCATCTTGTCCAGTGAGCTGACTGTGTTTTTAATCATCTGTCCAGTGAGACTGAGTGGTCTTCTCATCTGGCTTTTTATCTAACCTCCCTTCACTTGTCTCCAGAGTTTATCCTCTCAGCTCTCTTACTGAGGAATGGTCAGTTGTTCTCTCCTCCAATTCTGCTGTAGCTGGCACTCTCCTGCCAGTGCCCCATCAGTTTTCATTCATAGCTTTCTCTTGATTTATTCCATCTAGTCCATCTTTTTGTCCCCTTTACATTCAAAGCAGACAGCTCCTTCCCTCTTTAGCTTGGATCCAGCAACAGTAGAAGGGACTGAGAGCAGATGGGAAAAGTATTTATTGCTGTTGCTAAGCAAAATCTGCTCCCAGCTGTCCCATGACAGGCCACATCTGCAACTGGATGTGCAACAACCTGCAAGAACCCTGTGGCTCTGTGTGGAAGCAYGTGTCACTGCAAGTGCTTCTTCTGGAAATGCAGCTCTAGACCTTGCTCCAGGTGAGTGTTATGAAACTATCCAACGTAAGTTTGTAATTTGTCTAGTTTCTCATAGAGATGTCAGAAGCATGTAATTGATGTGAAGTTAATCTCCCTTAAAAATCTTATATTAATATAAAATCATTAGATTCCTTAACAATTAGAAATAGAGCTATGAGAGGGAATGTCAGGTGAATTTAATATCAGAGGACTCTATCAACCTGTCTTATAAGAGAGACCTTATTGCTGCCTTATGTAGAAGGGGCTTTTGAGAAATGTGAGGAGAGACATTTTAACAGTGCCTGTAGTGATACGACAAGGCCTAACATTTTTACATAAAAAGAAGGTAGATTTAGACAAGAGATAAGGAAAGAGATTCTTTACTGTGAAAGTGGTGGGACAGTAGAATGGGTTACCTGGAGATGTTGATGTAGAATAGAAACTAGAAATAGTCTTGCTCCTGTTCAAATCACTAGGAGCKCTCAACAGAGCAGTGTCAAAACTTGATGACTTTAGATGCCTTTATTGAAGACAATTGGTGTGTCAAACCTATTTGCAGTTCTAGTGTGTCATCTATCAGTTTGGAAAGAAAACAACCAATGTGGAAATAAACACAGAACAACTGTGTTCTTGTTCWCACTTGTTTATCATTGGAAAATAATTTAGATAAATACAACTGCCACAGGAAGAGTAAGTACATGACTGTAGATGCTTATTAAACCTCAATTCTTCATCACAAACTGGTAGTTTCTTGAGTTTTTTGCCATATGTTTTTTTTTCCTATTGCAAATATGTGCATCTGTGTACATATATATCTAATATGTATACTCCTATGGAATAATATAAGYTGTGAAGAATTGTCTTGCACTTTAATACAGTGGCTAGAAGGGAGCTTTGACCTTGCACATCATTGCTTATCAAAGCATACCCAGAGCTGACAAAAGGTAAGTGAGCAATAGCTCATAATTCCCTGCTGTATCAATGTTTGTTTGGAGCATGTTGTCATGGGAGTCTCGTGCACCTTTGGACAAAGGCCATAATTGAAAATATACCTTCCCTTGCACTTTGAGCAGCTGGTGAGTGTGGCTTTAACACAGTTCAGCACAGAGCCTCCAAAGGGAACTTTCTGGGATATACTCCTTGGTTCTTGAATCACTTTTTAACAGCATGGTGATGCTCTGTAATCATGAAGATGTGTGACTGTCAAAGATAATTGATTAGCCCTTTATTGATTGAGAAATGATYGTGATTTCATTGCAAGGCACTTGTCAGTGCACGTGAAGTGAGTGCTAGAATAAATGGGTGCAAGCATTTTTATTATGTAGAGTTTGTTTTGCATACTTTTTGTCTCCATGGGAATTTCTGAATTCAGATAAATGGCAGATATGTTTTTCTTGTGCGGCTTATTTTAATCCTGTGCCATGTCTTTAGGGGGAGAAGATAAGGGATGGTTGGTTGTGCCATATGTTTGATGCAATTTTTTTTTTTTTTTTAAGGAGCAAGAAGAACTTGGTTTTGGAAGGGAGARGAAAGAAAAATATCCTAACTTTAAAAATCAATATGTCTTGTTGGGCTGGCACAAGCAATTGAAATATCCTTCAATGAGTGCAGCCAGTGCGAGTATTCTGGGAGGGTGAAGTTTGGGTCAAATGAAACAATGAGAAGAATTTAATTTTAAAAACAAATTTAATTTTTGGTTCAGAAGAGCTGATGTATTATCTTTTAAATGCTTTAGCCTACCCTTAGGCTAGCCACCTGTCATCTTGGAAACTGGGGGAGAACCTGGGTACTAACTCACTACAAGACTCYGCTTTAGTAGTGCAAGACCATATAATATAATAAGTATTTTTGATAACTACTTTCAACATGATAAAGTCCTTTATAGTTCTTCCTTCTGTTACTCATCCTCAAAATCCTCTGTGCCATCWTAAGTGGTCTCTCTTGTTTGTTTTCTTGAGCCTTTGAACCAGTCTCTATTTCCTGCTCAGTTGGTTGACCTTGCTGGCAAACTTGTTAGGCATTGCATAAAGGTTGTCACTAATGCTCTTGCTCTATATGTGTCCAGCAAAGAGCCTAGGAAACAAGAGAGATTACAGGCAGCAGCTGTAAATTTTTCTGTGAGCAAGGATCCATTTTATTTCACTCTCTATTTAGGAAGTCTGTTCCATTCTCTCCCTTACCCCATCTACCCCAAGATTCTTGCAATTTTTGAAATTCTGGCCATGGAAAATACTTTCTTTGTAAGCATATTGTGTTGATGTGTAATTGTGTTGTTACTACTTGAGGTGCCAGTGTGGGTGGCATAGTAATTTACAGCATTTTGGCTGGCAGGACATATAGGTAGTATTGGTTGTTTTAGGTGATCTCTTAATGGTTGTGTGGTATCGTCCTGACTTTCCTCACCTTCTGCTATCTATGTCCTATGTTTGTTTCTATGTTAGGCTTTTAACTCTTCATGTGTTTTCACTTTTCTCAAAAACAAGATCCAGGAGCTGGAGTCATGACAAAGAAATGTTGTTAAAGGTCTAGAACAAAATGTTAGGTATGCCCAGTACCTGAGGGATAGAAATATAGATGGCCCAAACCAGGCTTCATGCTAACAAAGAAGTACAGCGGTGACTCCTGTTCACCATGACTTTGCAGTGATAGAGGATTTGTGAATTTCAAAACAGCTTYGTCTAAGCAGAATGTAAAGCAGTGCTTCGACACTTGAGTTGGCAGTTGTTAAACCTGTGCTATGTCTGTCTTCAAGTGAGCCTGCAGGTACATGAAAAACTTATCAAGGTGTTAAAATCAAGGAATTGAAAGTTAGGAGATGCTCTGATTTGAAATTTTGTTCAGTCTTAATTCAACATTCTTGTGCATATGCATTTTTAAAGGGATTTAGTTATGGCTTCATATTCAGTCTTTCTGTGGTGCACTACATGGAGTGTGCTCGTGAAAATATAGATGATCTTGTATTTGCACTTCTGTTTTCATGTATAGATATATTTGAGATACCAC